GACGGCTCAGTTTTTTATTGTACGAGGCGCCATAAAGGCCACATTAATAAGGAAATATTACAACCCGTTTTTCACCCCGAAGCCCGCTTACCACGTTAGCCTAGCAGTTGACAGTCCTCCAAGACGACCTCTGGCGTATCGTGTCAGACGCAAACGCTTCGGATGAATTATGGCGAGGAATTCGGCGATATGACATGTCGACCGCACTCTCTTTCTTGTCTCATACACAAGTCAAATGTCCGATCTGTAAACCAGCCTGGGATGAAATTTGGCGCAGTCCGCCTATACGACACACAGGACCAGGATGCCATGAAGAATGTGCTTCCCCACTTGCATGAGAAGTACATGACCGGGAATGTGACAGGCATACCAATGAAAGATTACAAGCTTGCTGTCGGAAGGAACCGAGTGTTACGGAGGATGTCAGGTGGAGTGGACGCCGTCCATGTGACCTAAAAATATGCTTTGAACAGGCATTGTGAGATTTTATTAGGCAACCTGGAGTCTGGTTTTATCAAGGAACTATATGAAGGCGCATATGGTCAAGTAGGCCCATGCCGTGAATAAATTATCATGGGTAGTCAGGGCAGTTGAGGCGAGCTCGACTAGAGTGTTGGTGTTTGTGGATTGGTTCATCGGTTGCAATATGTTAGATTCGCAATTTATCAATCAGGCTGATATATTATGGAAATTCGGTAAATATTCCCATTGTTGACTTGAAAAGTCAATTTATCAGGCCTGATAAAGTGCGCTTGCAACGGTGTCAGGTTAGAATTCAGTCACAGTACTGTTCGGAGATGGTTATGTTTTGCAGGTCCGTGAGTCTCAGCATTGGTTTTGCCATAGATGGCGTGTTGGGAAAGGATACGGAGGGTTGGTCCTGTCGACATAACACTGAGTCTGCAGATGTCCTAAGAGGCCAATCTCTGCTAGGAAAGTTCGCTGACAGTGCAGATACGTTGGCAGAAGTTGGGTGTAAGGCATCCCTGGAAGGTAAAACTTGGAACTGGCGAGTCTTCCTATTTGCCTAAGCAGCAAC